CAAACAAAGAGAAAGGAGAATTTTGCAGCAATATATGCCAACTAGTCAAAGTCGACGTAAGAATCTGGCTGACAAGTGCGCTACTTCCACAAATTCCATACTTCTTCATCGCTCAAAAAGTATATACTTCTTAAAATCTCTTGACTAATTCCGAAAGGATCATAATGCAAATTCCATATCATTTTGCACATCATGTGATTTTTTTTCCATTTTTCGTATCCATAAAAATTGAGCCCGTTGCTTGAGATTTCATAATTTACTACAAATGAGACATAACTTTTATGTCCAATCTTTGCAATAGTAATGTGTAAGAAAAACCAGTGTTTAGAAGTAAACATTACTATTTCAAACAATTATAGGTAAAGACCTCCCTCGCTCCAATAGTGAAGGTAACCAGAGTCGCGGCTCTATTGTAGCCTATCAGAAACCCACATTACTGTGGGCGTAGCCATCTTGCGATGCGCAGAGATGTATCCATATACATTTGCATTCCTATAGATCGGGTAAAACTAGCAGATTGAGATAATATAAACTTTTAATCGGAATTTTTGGAAGGCACATCAATTTCAAGAAAGAATTTCGGAATGTTCATGTATTAATTAATGAAGATACAATTAGCTAATGATTTAGTGATTCAGAAGTCGATAACCATTTTTACCTCAATTGACCTTTTAAGATTCGACAATTATCCACAGTTGCCAAATCGATAGAAGCACGTTTTCCGAGAAGATTTCTGAAGAGTAACGTAAATTTCTCGTCATCGTGTACGCCCATTCGTAAGAAGACTCCTTTGCTTTTCAGAAAGGGGTTTTAACAGTCATCACACGAACATGTTTTCATCCTGGTGCAAGTACATTGGTCCCTATGCAGGTATTCTACTTTTTTTTATCAGCTATTCCATATCTCTCGTAACAAGTCATAACTATGTTGTTTCTTTTCTGTGTTGTTATTGCCAAGATTCTTCTCTCTTTTTTTTTTGAATTCTGACGTTGCTTTTCCGCTTACTTATTCTGCCTCTCTACCCGTAAAGCC